ATCCTACTTTATTCACTAAATTATAGTTTTGTGACTTTAATACGTGGATAAAGTATAATTACTTCAATCTAATAAAAATAGTTTTATCACTTTATTGTTATAATGAGAATCAATGACCATACATGAAATTAATCTCACAATATTTTCTAATCCACTTAATTTTATATGACCATTTTGATGTTTTACTAGCAAAAAACCATAATATTCGTACAGATCTCGAACTCATTACTCTTCCTCAAAAGTCTAAATTTATTAAAGGTCGAGTTTGAGGGTACTTTGGTAACATATCTTGAAATATGTGACAAAACAGAGTCTCAATATTTTCCCTTTTCTCATTACTTACTGCAAAGAAAACAAATAAAATTTTGTGGTAATCAGACAAGTTCTGTAAAAGTGGGATCTGTTTCAGTATTATCAAGAGAAGAGGTACTCTATTCAATCAAAGTGGTGACGTATTGGCATGGTTCAGACTAGGCGCACCATACGTTTAGTTTGAAAATGAAGTGAGTATTTAGCATAAATCGAAAAGTACATTTTAAAAGATAATTTGGTTCCATCCTATCGATTCATATGTTTAACTGATTTAATTTAGTAATGTTTAATATGTTGACAAAGATTGCAGCTTACATGCCTGAATACGAAGATATTACACGATAATTAATGGGAATGAATTAAATAGAGAAACACAATATTAAGACCGCAGAATTCTTCAGTTTGAATGGACAATGAGTAATGAGAGTTTCATGTTGTTCCCCTCAATTTTTTTTTAACAAATAAACCAATTTGGGTCAACTTTTTGGACTAAAATTTGGGTAGGGGCTGCACGAACACAAGCCTCACTGTCACAAATTACGACGTAGGCTCAACCACTTGAGTCAACCTTAGATACGACATAGGTTCGATCACTTGAATCGACCTTAGACAGACACCTCTCCAAAGTGCAGTGGAGGTCACCAACCTAGGCAGGCCTTTTTGATCGCCCGTTGACCAGTCCAGGTAAGTATGTTTCCACGTTAGCCAAGTCCATCTTTAATACCAGCGTATTGCTCCATTTTTGCTCTGTGTTTGCGATATGGGACGGAATTGGTATTTCAATTGCTGGGGACCTATTTATTGAGCAAATAGGAATGTTCCTTCCCTATATTTGGAATGGTAAAAAATTAAAGTAAGGGGTAATAGTTAGCTTGGAAGTTTCATAAGAAACACTTTCATATATACTCCCTCCGTTCACTTTTACTTGGCAGGTATATTTAAAATAGATTTTAATTTTTACTTGTCACATTACGCATATTAAGAGAAGATAATTTTTTTTTCTGTTATACCCATAGTATTTATTACTCATTTCAAATCATTTTCTCAAATCCAATAAAATATGCATCAATTAATATGGGTATCATGGTGAATTATGCATTTCATTTATTATTTCTTAAGGGGCGTGAAAAGTCAAAACGTGAGTAAAAATAAACAGAGGGAGTATATTTTAGCAATTAAGGGCATGTGTTAGAAAGCCACCATGTAATTGGATTTGGGTGTAATTGAGTGTAATTGCACAATTTTGACATGTTTGTCTAACCAAGTAATTACCTGGTTAGCATGTAATTTGGTGTAATTGAGGGGATATAATTATACTCTGCAATTCTCGGGAGGAGTTACGAATTGCTGGTAATTACATGGTGTAATTACCGGGTTATTTTTTAATCTCTTTTATTTTCTTTTTATTTCTATTCTTTTTTTCTTTTTAATTTCTTTTAACTTTTTAAATTCATTTTTTTTTTCAAAACTTATTATTTTTTTTCATTTTTTTTCTTCTTATTTCTCAACCTTTACTTCGCGTGGTTCCACAAAATTTCTCATATTTTGTTTCTTTCTTAATTATTTTTCTTTATTTTTTTATTACATTTAACTATGTTATTATTCTAATTTTTCTAAAAACTTATACCTAGTAATCTTAGAAAGAATAAGTCATCTACGAACTTGACTTATAATTAGTGATGACATTAATGAGTCATGTCATTATTGGATGAGGTTATATGCAAACTTAACTATGTTAAAATAATAGATTACTTTTTAATATTCAAATAATATTCTCATTTTCCATCCTTTATTTTTTGTGATTCCATGTAGTTGCTCATATTTTTATTTTTTTATTTTCTTCGTGTAGCATGATTGTGTTATTATTCTAGTTTTGAAGCTACTTCTCCTAATATTAGAAATAATGAATCATTAATAAACTTAGCATATAATGAGTGATGTCATTAAAGTAGAATCTCATTATTGAATGAAGTTATTGAATTATGTTTTTCTTTTCTTTTGAATTATATTTACATAAATTATGTTGAAACTTATTTTGTGTTGTGTTGTAATTTTACATAAGAGTATTATTTTTTTCGGATTTTGTATTTATGTTATATTTTCCCTTTCATTTTATTTACTTTAGTAGTATTCACTTATTAATTTAGACTGCGTGTCATATATTTTTTAGTTAAAATTGATAGATTATTTTTTCGTAAAATATTTGAGTAATGTTATGACATTATATTTATAATTACTAATCATTTTATCAAGCATGCAGTCCATTATGTTCTTACAAAATATGTACTTTTAATTTTTACAATTGATTAAAGTAAAATATTATTAATTTGAAAAATATATATGAATTATTTTTATAATATTAGTTACAAATATATGATTAGTAATTAATATATTTTTAAAAAATAATATCTATCTTAAAATCAAATTTAATATTATTTATAAAGGCATATATTTGTTAAATCTTAACTTTTAATTATTTGATAATTAATTTTATATTTATATAATTTAATCTAACTGTGTAATTACACTTGTGCAACCAAACAGTACACTTGTAAGTAATTACATTATAACAAACAAACAGGTTGTCGTAATTACAATATTATGTAATTACTAGGTTGTGTAATTACTACCCTAGTAATTACACCAATTCCAATTATCTAGTGGCTTTCTAAACATACCCTAACTTTTTGTAACTTGTTTAATCATACCAGTTTTCATTTGATAATTGTTTGAGTTTTTTCATTTCCAAAATCTCTCGAGTTCATGTGTGGGGAACAATTTGGTGGGAACTTTATCTAATTAGTATTTCTTATTCAGTCTTGTGGACTAGTATATATAGTTGTCAAATGAAACCAGTGAGCAACTTCATACAGGTTTTTGGTTCCAATTCACCTTCATCCTCCCTTGAAGAATTTGTCTTTCAATATTACGCATGAAATTTCCGGTTTGTTCGGGATTAGGACAGCTCGGTGCACAAAGCATCCCGTATTCACGCAGGGCTAGGAAAGAGCCGCATCTGGTATTAGGTAGACAATCAACCCTAATGCAAGCATTGGTGACTGATTCCACGGCTCGAACCCGTCACTTATAGGTCACACGAGTTTGTTCAGGATTAAGGCAACCCAGTGCACAAAACATCACGTATTCACGCAGGGTCAGGGAAAGATCGCATCCCCAGGGGTGTTATATAGACAATCTACCCTAACGCAAGCATTAGTGGCTGCTTCCACGACTCGAACATGTCACCTATAGGTCACACGGGTTTGTTCAGGATTGTTTAAAAAAAACATCTTAAATATAAAATCACGATTTCCAAGAGTAAATTTCAGGAAGGAGACAGAGGGAGGCAGACATTGTTTTACTCTCCTTTAACGACTTGTGCACCTTAACAACTGTGCGCAACATGAAACGGAATGTATTTTAGCTTCTTTGAAGTTTTAGTGATTAAACCTGCTGAAAGTACTGAATACAAAAGTAGCTAATTGAATCTTCTCATTCTAACTTCCACATCAAATTGGTCTTAACTATTGGTCTTTAATTTCAATATTAAGAAAGGTTTAAACCATCAAAAAGTCTTTCCAGAAGAAAGGTGCTGGAATTATAGGAGACCTACAGTTAAAATATATTTTGAACTAGGTCGCTTGTTCTGTAGGCGACCTACAGTTGAAACAATATTGTAAAGCAGAACGCTTGTTCTAAGTTCCAATCTGAGTTTTAGCTATTTATTTGTCAAAGAAAGCACTTTCAGAATTATTTAGCAATTAACTTCTCATAACTAGCTAATTCGTACCAAGTTTCATTTGATAATTGTTCTAGAGTTGGTTCATTTCAATAATTTCAATGGTGCGGAGAATAATTTGAGAGGAACTTTAATTAATTATTTCCTATTCAGTCTTATGAACTGGAATACAGTTTTCAAACGAAACTATTGAACGATTTTACACAGGTTTTTGGGTTCCAATCCACTTTCATCACCCGTTGAAGAATCTATTTCAATATTACAAGCATTAAACTTTCAGTCTGTTGAGGGATCTTAAACCTAAAATCTTTTTCAAGAATAACAGACATTGTTTAATCCTGTGATGAAATTTCAAGATAGCCACATACTCCTTTTAAGAGTTATACACCTTAATAACAACTGAGTGCAAAATGAAAAGAAAGTATTATATTGTCTTCAGGACTTGGAAGCTTTAACAACTTAGAGCAATTGGAAAATAAGGTTGGAGCATGTTCCATCTCATATATACACATATCCACACCTCCACAAGAATTGGTCAAAACTCAAACTAAGAGATTAATTAACACTTGGCAGATTAGGATTCTCAGATTGAACTTCCACAGGACAGAAGATTGCACAATAACTACTTTTTATTAAAGGGTGACTTGACCAATACACCCAAGTCAAGCTTTCTAATATTCCTGCTAAACTACTATACAGATCCAACTCCCAACATTTAATTCTTTTCCCACACCATGATTTTGAAAGGGCTAGAAAATCAACAAACTCATGCATTCATGGCTTGTGCCTCCATATCATGAAGCTCAAGCATATATTCACACCAATGCATAATTACTTTGGAGACCCATAATACGAAAGAGAAGATGCGGCAACCATTTTGACTACAGGATATATATATATATATATATAGGGGCACAACAATGCAGTGAAAGGAACTGCAAAAGAAGTATACACTGCAGGCTAGCAACTGCCAAATAAATATCAAGCTCTCTTCAGCAAAGCTGTTCAACAGAAACCTCCATTCCACTTAAAGTAACACAAGCAAACACTGAAATGAACTCAATCCAACATGTGACAGACAAGTACAGTTATACACAGCACAATTGTCTTCAAGGATAACAACCTGTAATGCCTAACAAATGGTAAAACCCCAAAATGGAAACTAGAACTTCATAGGTCCATGGACTCTATTCCTTCACTTCCCACCATCCCTAGCATGTGAAAAGTCCAGTGGACTCGTCTGCAGCAGAGAAAACCTGTATACAAGTACCATTGTAAGCTGCAAAGCAGGAACCTTTTAACCTGCAAAAACTTGGAATGCATAAGATTAATCTTCTAAGAATGACAAACTCTAACAGTATCCTGGAAAGAGAGAAGCCTCGATACTGTAGGCAATTAACAAAGCTAAGATCGGCTTATAATTATAGAAGGGATAAATTTTCAACTCACAATCATCCTATAAAATGCTTCATCTTTATTTCAGGAAGAGTAAACCTAGGAGGAAAGGGAAAACCATTTGACCATAGGACCTAAAGCTAAAAAAACCATTTTATCTATTTCGATAAGGAAAACAGTCATTTACCAATTAACATGTGATATTTTACTGCTGTTTGGGGTTACCTAAATTAGAAAAATAGTAGTCAGCAAGAGACAGGAAGAAAAAGACACTGGAAGATTAACATGAGATTTTGATCATTGCAAGCTTCACTGTACGAGCAACTGATGCATCAGAGTCGGGAAAATGGCAATGTTCCTAAGTAGGCCTCTCTATGATCCCTCCTAAACAAAGTCCTGTCCTTTTAAACATGGTAAAAAGAAGACAATAGAAGGGTTATGCTTTTTTCAAAATCACAGCACAGTGGACCTGTACTCCACCCTGCACAGTGGAAAATGGACAGTGAGCTATACTGCTGCAATGTGCCACTATGACTGAAAGACATTCAGGTGAAAGGAACAAAAACATAAATGGCAATGCCACTAACCAGAGTAACACTACTATCAGTAGCCATAACTTCCATTTGCTACCTACTGCTGCTTCGGGTAATCGTCATCAAACTGTTCTCCATAGTGATCACCACCATCACTCTTGCCATTATCAGTGTCAAAATTATTGTATTTAGCAGATTCTACCTCTTCTTTTTCCCTATTCCATTGCTCAATCTTTGCCCTCCTCTCAGCACTGCCATCCCTGTCTTCCCTACGCATACTACTGCCATGATTCCTCCCAGATCCCGCCTCTTCCCTTTCCCTGTTCCATTGCTCAATCTTTGCTCTTCTCTCCTCACTTCCTTCCCTAATTGGACTTCTATTTCTCCTACCCCCGGGACTTCTGCTGTGTCCACTCCTTCGTCCAGGACTTCTGCTCCTAGGTCTCCTCCCTCTATCATTGTAGCGGTGATCACCTCCTCCACCTCCTCTTCTACCAAAACCACGGCCTCCAGGCGGACGCTCATCATAATTGCGATGACCACGTGGGCTTCGGCTTCTACTGTGGCTGCGTCTGCGCCTGCTCTTAAATAAGTGCTTTCGCAGCTCCCTTCAACAAAAAACAAATGCATCAGCCACCAAATACCAAGACTAGCAAGGTCAAAGGCAGAGAGTTGTGGATGTCTCTGTGTGTGTGTGAGAGAGAGAGAGAGAGAGATGGCGAGATACTAACCTGCTTATCTTTTTCAGATGCATGAAGTTGCAATAGCCACCTCGGTTACATACATTTTCCTCATACTGCCTACAAGTGGCTTCCCGAAAATCAGTCACTGGGGAGAAGTCGACAATGATTGGACGTCCTGAATTTCCAATTTTCATGATGGTCAGTCGTAGAGTACGAGGTTTCAGTCCCAAAAAAATTAGATTATATAACATAAGAATATTATTTGTTCCCTTCCTTAGTAAATAATAGCATCAGCTTTGAAATAAACCATGCTCCCTGACAAATTCAAATATTACAACGTCCAAACCATAGAATTCCTCCAATACTTTTTGAGAATATCATCATTTGGATTATAGATGATCTAAAGCCTAAAATATATGTGCACGCCATCTTTTCTCACTCTGCGAGTCTGACTACTTGCTAAAACCCACTATAACCATGTGCAATCAACATAAAAGTATTATTCTAATCTCTTCAGAAATTGAAGGCAATGAGGGAACAACAGCAATAACTATAAAAAGTTGAGTATCAACCGGGGTATCTGTCCAGTAGAGATACTACTAAAATAATTTATCTGTACCACAGTATGGATCAACTGCGTAGCACTTTGTATTATTCATTTTCAGGAATGAACTTGAGATAAAAATAACCAAAAACCACCGATATTGATCTGACATAGGATACACACTGATTTCCTCAAATTATTTTCCACGTAAACAACAAAAGTCCACCTGAAAAACCATACCAGTACTAACCGCTAATGCAATAAAAAAACACATCATCAACCAAAATGAGTAGAACTAGCCTGCGTAAAATCTTCCGGTAAGATTCTGAAGAGCACTTGCAGCATGATCTTCCTCTCTGAACTGGACATAAACGTTACCAACCTACAATAAGATCACTCAGGTGGTCAGATGAAAGAAAATCACAATAGCGAAGTTCACGTCAGCAAAGTGGACGTACCATATGGTCAGCTAAATTGTCGCAGATGTTAAGGTTTTCAATCTCTCCATATTTGCTAAGCTCTTCAAACAAATCTTCATAGAAGTCCTGCACATTCAATGGTGATCACAAATATCTCATACCCACCATTATTCAACTCTTAATGTTTAGTGTCAAATCTTAAGAAGTTGAACAAATTTCTGAACTTAAAGGACCACTATCCTCCAAACATGCAACCCCCCTCCACCAAGCTTCCAATCTAAAACTAAAGCAACCTTACTTATTAATCAGAAAGTATAGGTTATAACAACAAATCCACACAATATGTTATATATTTAGCGATACATGGTCATGCAAAAAAAAAAAGATAATGGAGAAAAGCCAATAGGACACTTTTATCACGACAGATAACAGTTAGACAACCCATCCATCATTAAATTATGCATCAATACGTACACAACCAGTAAGACACTGTATCATACACACATTAAGCGTCCACACACTAAATATATATTTATTTTTCTTAAGCATTCACCTGCTACAGTCCACAAGTACAGGTTTTGCATCCACCTGCCCACCAAGGACAGCAGATGGGCCGGCTCAAACCTCGTTAGATTCCCATGTATAACAAGATAGATCCATGTGGACACACACACAGAGAGATATCTAACAACACAATCACTGCGCCTCAGTCCCAAACAAGTTGAGGTCAACCATATGAATCCTCAATTCTCCATTTAAGCTCAATTCATATCGTACACGTGTATATGACCATAAAAAATAAAATAAAACAAATAATTATGCATCCGTACATACACAACCAGTAAGACACCGTATAACACACACACACACACAAAGATATACATAGAGAGAGATACCTCGAAGTGGCGCTGGATCTGGCGAGGGTCAAGGGGCTGACCTTGAGGGTCAACACCAGGGGTAATCATATCAGGGCGCTGGTACATATTAGACAGCACTAAGGTAGGG